CATCAAGACCCACATTACCAAAATACCCTCAGAAGTCAAACTTGGTGAACCCCGGTCAAAGTCAAAGTCAACAGTCAAGGTCAAAAGTCCATGTTGACCCAACTCGTCGAGTGCAGCTAGTAACTCATCGAGTTCCTTCAGAACTCAGAAAACTGGGAAAAACCCTAACTAACTCGTCGAGTTATCTCATTAACTCGGCGAGTCCACTCAGAATCCAGAAAGCAGGAAAACCCGACTCAACTCGTCGAGTTGGCTATGCAACTCGTCGAGTTCCTTCAGTATTTTCATATTCAGTCCTTTCCAGTCGAATCCAAAGCCCCAAACTACAGATCTAGTCCCTTAGAGCTGAAATACCACGTAAAATTGCTAACTTTACGTGCATTCAAGGCCTCGAGAGGCTAAAACACCAAAACTAATCTTAAGAAGAGGATTAGGGCATGGAGGATGGCCAAAGCTTGATAAAGCTTGAGTATTTAGGCGTAAGGGGCCTGGAGGTGTCCAAATCTGAAGTTACAACTTCGGATCATGCTCATCTTCCAAAAGTGGATCCAAAATGGGCTAAAAGACACTAAACTTTCATAGGAGAAGATCTAAGAAATGGAAAGCCAAGGTAAAGACTTTTTACCTCCAAATGGTTGCTAACATAGTGTAGATGTCGGATCTACAGCCTCCTCCTTCGGCTATGAACTAGTCTCTTCAAGCTTCTTCAAGAAATGCACCAACAAACACTATTTAGGCTTGCACACTCTCAAAATGGAAGGTTAGCATGATTTTAGGGTTTCTCTGGACAATAATGTGGTAAGGGAGGCTAGTGAGGGGACTTAAGGTCCTTTAAATAGGATGCAAACCCTAAAAATTAGGGTTTTCATGCATAACCTCAACTCGTCGAGTTAGGGTCCTCCAACTCGTCAAATAGGTACCATAATCCATGCGGCTTTATTAGTTTCTACACGACGAGTTGGGGCCTCCAACTCGTCGAGTGGGTCTTATGTGATGTGCAAAAATCCTTAAAATTTCATACCTGGGAGTCAAGATGTTACACCATTCTTCATGTTGGAGTCTACAGTCAACCAAGGTTATGAGGCACCATTCCGTATATATTATGTTAGTTCTCAGTTTCATAGAGCAACATTCTTTGAGGATGTTGAGTTTTGGGGAGAAGCAAGGTTAAAATATTGCCCTTAAGGAGGAATCAATCTCGATTCCTATTATTGCGTTCAATTGTGTAGATTATGAATCCGGGACTGACAATGTTATTCATTCTCCTATTCAGAATACACAAACTCAACAACCCCAACTTTGGCTATCTCATGTGTGGTACCACAAGTTTCATCAGTTTATTATCTCCTTTTGGTTTTGAGATAAATACAATAGATGATTGTGTTTATCACCAATTCAGTGGAGTAAATATATCTCTCTGGTGCTATATGTTGATGACATATTGCTTGCAATAGATTAAAATATTCTTAAATGAAGGACCTTGAAGTTATAGAGCTAAAGAAGATTCAATATGTTTTCTACATTTGGGAATCCGATGTATGCTCAAGTATGTACACGTCAATGTATTGTAAGGATGTTGGGTCAAATATTTAAGCAAACCAGTTATGGATCATTGAAAAGCATCCAAATGGGTTTTGAGATGTTTATAGAGAACAAAAGGCTACATGCTCAAATCTAGGAAATCGGGTGTTCTGGAGATCATTTGTATTCGGAATCTGATTTTATTAGATGCCAAAATGGTTACCGATCAATATCGGGATACTTTTACATGTTAGCATGATGAGCCATTTCGTGGAATAGACTTCAGTAACTTCTTCCATAATGGCAACATACTTTGTAGCATGTTATGAAACATTAAATCATGGAATATGGCTGCGAAAATTTGTCACAAGGCTGCATATTATTGGTATTGAAAGACCACTAAAGTTGTGACAATAAGTAAATAATGTTATATTCCAACAATAGCAGAAGTTATACTAAGTCAAAGCATATTGACATCAAGTTTTAGGCTGTTAAATAAATAGTGCAAATGGACAAATATTTATAAAGCTTATCTAGATAAACTCAATGATAGCGGATCCGCTCATGAATGAATTACATCCCTAGGTCTTTCATGAGCATACTACACTCATTGGTGTGATATTTGGTTTTAGTGAGAGTTTTATGGTATTTTATGTTTTGTTTAAGAACAATTATGTTTTTCTGTACAGAATTAAGAATTTGGTTAATTCCATTATTAGTTGCACTTATTTGAAGTTTGATCTCGCTTCAAGCTAAAGAGGAATTCTTTGGAAATCTATTTTGGTTTTAAAACCACACATCATATTTAATCTATGTCGTTAGTTATATATGTATATGTGACCATTGATAGGTTTAGTTACGTAAATTGCAACGAATACCGCTTTGATCCTATACTATTATGATTAGTGGACGAGATTGCTTAAGGGTACCAATAATATGATAACATTCATTAAAGCGATTATACGGCTATATGTACATTTACATATTTGTGGTTCAGTGGGAGATTGTTAGATAATTATAGGACCACTTCATAAATATGCACAATATTATCATTAAATCTGGTTATTATGGTAAGAATACAAATTGTTGATGGACCGATTTATAGGATATTCACTTACCTTTTGTGGGTTGAGTTCTCGGTTTGACTCAATATCCTATATATCCCTTTCATCTCTCACATTAGGGTATATCTCCATCTATATATACATATGATGAGGAGCGAATAAAGATACATGAAATACATACAAGAAATTCGTTTTAGGGTTTGCTGTGGGATTTAGAGAGAATTGTTGAGATCAACTTGAAAACTCATCCTAGTCTCCAGATCCGAAAAACGCAATGTGATCATATATGTAATAATCGTTCTTTCATATTTAAGTTTTCTTTTAATAGATTCGAGAATAAACATCTACAGTTTATGCTTCCGCATGTTTATGTTTTGGTATCAAAAATATCCAACATCCGGTGAATAAAAAAACTTAATGATAGTAACCAACTTTTATAATTATACACATTTAGTCATTTTTTACAGATATTTGACTAAAATAATTACGAAAGGTGTTCAAACAATACAACTATAACCAATACTCTATTTTAAATGCCTTTAAATCACCAATTTTCACACTTCTAGGCTACTTCAATTATTAATCAACCATAGCAATTGTTCCAAATTAGTCAATGTGACCTGCTATTGCATGTATAACATGTTACCAAGTTTTTCCTTTTTTACAATTCGACCCAAATTTTATTTTAAGTTACAGATTTGTAAATTTATAAAATATCAAAATTAGAAAGACAGTGACTTCTGCAGATCTGACGATTCTTTGAGTTTTTCCATATCCAAACAAAGAAAGCATACTTTTAAAGTGTTTCTTATAGTCGTTTTTGAACCTAGATTCAAGTTTTGTATTTTTTTGTTATTATTAATTAAACATGGAAGTTCGAACTCTTTTTTTTTTTTTTTTTGTAAAATATTGAACCTATACTAAAGTTTAAATGAAGTAACTGGGTTGGGTTTTTATATTTTTTTGCTTTTGATCTGTTTTTTTTAACATGATTGTGGTGATTTGAGGTATGTTTTCTAGAAAACATGGTCTTGATGGCGTGTTTTTCTATAATATTGAAACTGTTTGTATTTTTGTAAAATTTGTGTTGTGGTGGTAAGAGGTGGACGATGGTGTAGGTGATTGGATCGAGTTGGTGGTGGTGGTGCATGGGTATTATGTTGATTAATCTTTAAAGTATAAGAAATGGTTAAATGTTCTTCACATTATTTATGATAATGACTTGCAAAATTATTTAACAAAAATACTATTTGTAAGTTTATGAAATAATTATAATCCTCCTTAATAAATGAAGGTTTTTTTTGCCACATGTCAATCTCTCATGAGTTTTGACACTTGTCATTTTGTGGTATTTTTGAAATAAATATTATACACTTGTCAATTTTTGGTTTGTTTCAATTTTTAAAATTAAAATCATATACTTATATATGTAAAATATTAAATATCATATATATCATATTAAATTGCAATAAATACGTATCTTCCTTTTTTATTTTAAAGTTGTACATTAAAAAATATTTTTTGTTTACATTTTAATGTTTAATCTTTTTTTAAACCAACTCGTGTATTACACGGGTCTGACACCTAGTAATGAAATAAAAATAGTTAAATTTTAAGAGAAATCCAAGTAAGCGTCATGCCAGCGTCACGAGGACCTATTATGCAACCAAAATACTAACCCAAGGTCAATCATTAGTGTTACCGATTTACCTTTTTATTTTTGAGAAAAAAATTTAAGAGAGACCTAATGAGTAAAAACTCAAATGTTGGTTGACATTAACCTTTTAGAAAATATACAAATGAATTTGATGAAAGATATAAAAGATACAAATGAATTTAATGGAAGATTTGCTTTATATAAAAATCATCTCTATTAACTCTTTTTCTAAGTTTTACGATGTGGAATATAAATTTTGTTTTTGATCTTTGATTGTCGTCCCATATGGATTATATTATGAATAATAATATCCGTTTTTTTTGTTAGAACATAATCATTATACTTTTGAAAACACAAAAAAAGAAGCAAGCTTTCCATTTTTCTATGGTTTTATTCAAAAGTTAACATACTACCCGTTATTCTTGCAATAAACACAAAAGGTCCTATCAATAAATGCAACCCACACAAGTCCAATGATGTACTTGGTAGGATAAGTTTAAATTGCCATTCAATTTGTTTAAATTAGTTAGCCATTCAATCCAGAACCCTCTTTAGAAAGTTAGTCATCAGCCAAAAGACAGTAGTTTCATATTGCCACTAAAAACCAAAAAAAAAAAAAAAAAGCAATATTATGATGCGAAAGACTACATAAAATGAGCAAAGTTGCAAGTAGAGAACAGTTTAAAGCTATAAACAAATATAAACGAGATACATGAAAATTATTGTTATGAGTATATCATTCTGATAAAAGCGACACCTCAGGGTGATTTCATGATTAAAGCGGCACTTGGAGAGTTCTCAAGCAAGAAGTTTCTAGCTTCGGTAGATATTTCTTCTCCATATTCATCCCTATTCAAGCGGTAATCTATGGTCAAGCTGATTAAGTTGCTAAAAGGTGATGGATGGTGCAACAACAAATCAGGAAATGAGGAAATACACTGCAAAGAAATTACAAGAAATATGTATATTAAAGATGGATAAAAGTATATATAGATTGTATACCCGCTATTGTATCAAGTATTTCAATAAATTAATATAAATTTTTGTTAGCCACCACCACATTAAGTCTCATTTTTTTTTCTTTCCATTTTGTCTTATTCATTTTGACAATGCACCAAGGATTTCAACAGTTCAAATAAGATGTCCGCAGTTTCCACACTACATGTCAATAATTACTGATATGATATCAACATACCTTAACTATGTCCACGTTAAGTGTAAGATATCTGGCACTATGGAGCTCTTGAAGCAGGTTAATAGTCTTGATTGCATCTTTCTCTTTATATGGCAAACCAAAACAACTGAAACAGATAGACACTTTGTTTAGAGAGTAAAATCGATCTTTACATAAGTTCAAGGGCAAATCACCCCAGTAGTCCAAAGATGAAAGTCCTGGTGGAGCATTCAGGTACTTGAATGAGCAACAAATTACGGTGAGTTTCTCGAGTTGAGGGGCAATCAGATTGATGACTGCTGAACAACTGCTGCCATGGGCAAGCCTGAGACTAGAAAGTAGAGGGGTAATGATGTCAAATACTTCCCCATCCTTGACAGAGAAATATTCTAAAGTGAGATTCTTTAAGTTTACACACTTGGAGAAAAGATCACTACACAATACGAACTTACTGAGTCGCAGAGTTGTTAATGCTGGAAAATCCAGAGGTGCTTTAGTTGTAGTGCAAAGTTGCATATGATGGCAAGTCAACGTGAAATGTTTAAGGGAGTGAGAGCTGAATAGGCAAGGATGGTAACTTTTATGGCCATATCTGGGACAACTAGTGACAGTTAGTTGTTGGACATTGTGAGAAAATGCATATGTTGCAATCTTTTCTCACGGAAACCTGACTAGCTGCTCCACTGAAATGTAGCTTTACAGACGACACTTCTACTTGATGGTTGCGGCAAGACAAAACATGATTCACAAATTTGGCAAACATTGGTAAACAGCTAAACTCCCTACTTGACAAGTTAACACAAGGCATTGATGTCCATAGAAGCTTCCATCTCGATGAAAACAAACATGTTTGAACAACAAATTTCATGTCAAAAGAAGACAGGATTTTATGAATAAGCTCATCTGGTAAGCTGCTCAATCTATCTTCTTTTACCACTCGTCCAACTTTATTGCGATCAAAGTCCATTCTCTGTTATCCAGTCAAGTACGTACAAATGATAGTCTGCACTTCAAAGTGTAAAATTAAAATCAATTGATTGGATACTAAAGAAGAATACTTCTTATACATGTTGAGTCCTAATGCAACCAAATATGGAGATGGAACACATATTAGGACACATCAGTAATAATTCATCAGGTGGTGTTCCTTATAAGGTTGGTCTTATCATTTGATGGTCTCCCTCACGGATCTCATGAACAAAATTTGATTTTCTCACCTCATCAGTTCATCATCAAATCACATCTTGAATATTTATATCGATTATGTAGATGGATTCAGGCTGTATGCAAATTTGATAACTCTTCTAGCTAGCTGATAAGTATATGATTGTTAACATAAGTCTCATGATGAAACCATATATGCATGCTTTCTTCTATGTTCTGCTAATGAAATTAAGTATCCAAAAAGGTGACAAGAATATATATATATATATATATATATATATATATATATATATATATATATATATATATATACACACCGTACTCTGCATTTTCCCTTTCTAACAAACTGGGAACCCAATTTTACGCTTACAATACGAGTGAATAAATGCCCTAAATAAGTTTTTGTGCTTTAACACCATAAGAACAGACACAGAATTGTGTTTCATATACATAACTATATAAAAGAACTGATATATGAATGATGAAATAGGAATTTTGATCTGCTTAGACAAAATAAATTCCCAATTCCAAATTGATATAGTAATAGTATTATTGTAAGATCACCAATTAACAGGTAAAAAATATCGACTAGCATTAAAATAATAACAATAATGTCAAATGGGTTGCTTTAAGACTTAATATATAAGAACTATTTGATTATATAAATATCAAATACCCCACACATCATTGCAATTTTACTAATACATCAAACAAAAACTCTATAGAAGAAGAAAAACATCTTCTCCTGATAGTACAGTCTTTTGCTTATTTGGTATTCTCTTGATTTATCAAGCTTTAATCAAATGAAAAACGATAATGATTTAAGTAAAATCATCACGAAGTATGAAACTCGAATGCCCTGATTTCTAAATTGTGCAGTTAGCAAATGGAAGTTGATAAATCAATGCGTGTATGATGGAAACCTGGGTTTGAGAGAGACGTACCTCTTAACCTTCCAAGAAATCACAAGGCGAATACCCTGAAACCCTAACACCAATAGTCTTTGTATAGTTTTGTTAACAGGGACTTATATTTTTAACTCGGATTAAGATTTCGTTTTGTTGAGTCTTCAGTCCCTAATCAAAATAAAAAGACAAATTTACCATTATTATTTCTTGTACCCTTTTATATATTTAGTTTTTAATATATATATATATATATATATATATATATATATATATATATATATATATATATATATATATATATATATATGTTCAAAAAAGAAAAATATGGCATTTAAACATAACATGCCTTAAATCATGTCACAAACCCTTCAAACTCGTTTGTTATGTACTAATTTATCCGTCATGTTATCGTATTCCCTTAGGCCTTGACAATTACATCCACTGTATCTTTTATAATCCGATTTGAATCAAACCCAGAAAAGCCAAGAACAGATCCAAACAAGCTCAGGCTTACTTTAAAACATCTTTATTGTGGAAAAGTTGCCTCCAAAATTAACAAGTGATAAATAGTTCAGGGGTTATTTTTGTAACTTATCATTTACTATTCATAGTTTGACTATGAATAGTAATATAAGTGTGAAATTGAAAATGAGAATGGACGGTGAGTTACATGTGAGGCGCCTAACTTCTTCTTCGCCTACAATTATGGACGGCTTTTTCTTTCCTTTTCATATGTTCTCTTTTTGCTATAAATAGCCTAAGCCAGAAGGCTTGAAAAAAATAACCCACGAACCAAATCAAATATATATATATATATATATATATATATATATATATATATATATATATATATATATATATATATTGATACACCACCGTATATTTTAGCTCTCCCATTCTATTTGTAATCTCTTTCATAATCTCTGTAAACACTGCAAATTATAGTGAATTGTTTCTCGGCTTCCTCCGCCCGTGGTTTTTTCCCAATTTGGGTTTCCACGTAAATTCCTGTGTCTCTATTCTATTTATTTTATTCGTATTTCGTTGTGATTATTACGCTTTGATAATTTTTGATCACATTCCGCATTGAGCTAATATTATTTAAGTCAATTTGGATCCGTCGTATTTTACAACAATTAGTATCAGAGCATCCAGGTTGTGATATTAGCTCGTTGGGATCATTTTATCAAGTAATTAATCATGTCTTCGGTAAAATACGATATTCCACTACTGGATCGTAACACCCGATTTCCGTTGTGGCAAGTAAAGATGAGAGACATTCTCATTCAGATGGATTTACACAAGGCGCTCTTGGGTTTCAATATGATGCCCGATACATGGACCGAAGAAGAAAAGGAAATGAAAGATCTGAAGGCTTTATCCCAGATTCGTTTGCACTTGTCAAACGATGTTTTGCAAGATGTTCTAAAAGAAACGTCAGCGGCTTCTTTATGGCTAAAGTTGGAGCAACTGTTGATGACCAAGAGCTTACCAAACAAGTTGCATTTGAAGCAACGGTTGTTCAATCTCAAGATGATTGAAGGAGGCTCTTTAGCTGAATATATATCCACATTTAAAGAGTTAGTAAATAACTTAGAGAATATGGATGTTCAGTATGAAGATGAAGACTTGGCTCTATTCTTACTATCGTCGTTGCCAGAATCCTATAGCCATTTTCGTGATACTATTATCTATAGCCGTGACACTCTAGTTTTAGATGAAGTCTATACAGCTTTGGATTCCAAAGAGAAGATGAAGCATATTACTGGTGGTGGTTCAAGTGATGCTAAAGCCGAAGGTTTGAATGCCAGAGGAAGAACAACAGAGAGAAGTAGAACTTCTCAATCTTCCAACAGAACCAGATCCAAGTCAAAAGGCAAACGAAAGTTTTGCAACTATTGTCACAAGAAGGGACATGTGCTTGAAGAATGCTTCAAGTTGAAGAACAAAGAAAAAGAGAAGACGGCAGCAAATGGTAAACAAGCTAGCACTTCGGGTGAAGCTGATCTAGCTGAGGTCGAAGGTATTGGAGAACTTTTGACAGTTTATTCAGATAAACTGGATTCCACTGGTGATTGGATACTCGACTCTGGTTGTACTTTTCATATGTGTCACAACAAAAGTTGGTTTTACACATTTGAAAAGGTTAACCAGGGCTATGTGTTGATGGGTAACAATACTACATGTCCAGTTCTTGGACATGGTTCAGTCAGGATCCGTATGTTTGACGGAGTTATTCGAACCATGGGGGATGTTAGATTGTTCCTGACCTCAGAAGAAACTTGTTATCTCTCAGTTCCTTTGACAAAAAGGGATACGAGTTTGCTGGTAAAGTTGGAGTTCTCAGGGTATTCAAAGACGGTTCCGACAAACTGAGAGCCGAACGAAAAACCTCAGATCTTTACTTTCTTGACGGGCAAACAATTTCGAGTGATGCTGCTGTTGTGTCAAAGTTTTTTTCTGATCCAGATCAGTCCCGTCTTTGGCACCTTCGACTCGGCCATATGAGTTTTCAAGGCATGTCAGAATTGAGTCGAAGAGGTTTACTTGGTCAACAAAAGATTGTTGATTTGGATTTCTGTGAAGACTGTGTATATGGCAAGGCAAAACGAGTGAGGTTTGCAAGTGGTATCCATACAACGAAAGGACCACTTGATTATGTTCACTCGGATTTGTGGGGACCGGCTCGAGTTGCTTCAAAAGGTGGAGCTATTTATATGCTCACTATTATTGATGATTTCTCCAGGAAGGTGTGGTCTTTCTTCTTAAAAAATAAAGGAGACGTTTTCTCTACCTTCAGAAATTAGAAAGTTCAGGTTGAAAAGCAATCAGGTCTGGTGGTAAAGTATCTTTGTACGGATAATGGACTTGAGTTTTGCTCAGAAGAGTTTAATGTCTATTGTCAAAAGGAAGGCATTACTCGACATCGCACAGTAGTCCATTCACCTCAACAAAATGGTGTAGCTGAAAGGATGAATCGCACCATTATGGAGAAGGTCCGGTGTATGCTTTCTAATTCCAAATTGCCAAAGTCTTTTTGGGCGGAGGCTGCTTCGACTGCTTGCTATGTTATCAACCGATCACCGTCACGAGCAATCGAGAAGAAAACTCCGTTTGAATTATGGTCCGGTAAACCTGCAAATTATTCAGATTTAAAACCATTCGGATGTCCAGCATATGCACGGGTTGACAATGGGAAGCTAGAACCAAGAGCAATCAAATACGTTTTTCTTGGGTACAATCAAGGTGTAAAGGGTTACAAGTTATGGAGCTTTGATTTGAAGAAAATTATCATCTCAAGAGATGTTACTTTTGATGAGTCTGCTATATTTCAACCAGTTGCTGACTCTTCTAAAAGAACAGATGCATCAGATGTATCATCCGAAGCAAATAAAGAGAATGCTCAAATGGAGGTGGAGCTTCCTACTTCACCTACCACTAATCAGAGTACAAATCAGCATCAAGATTCTTCTTCGTCGGATGAGCATGTTGTTGGTGAAGATTCAACACCTTCACAACCACAAGCTACTACTCCAAGCATTGCAAGAGATAGACCGAGAAGACAGATTATTCCTCCGAAGAGGTATGCTGAATCTGATTTGGTTGCCTATGCTTTTATTGTTGCTGATAATATTGAGTCTGCAACGGAGCCTGCAAATTATGACGAGGCTATCAAATCTGAAGACTCAAATGATTGGATGCTCGCTATGCAAAATGAGATGGAATCCTTGCAGCGAAACAGTACTTGGAATTTAGTTCCTATTCCGAAAGGGAAGAGACCAGTTAAATGCAAGTGGGTCTACAAGCTCAAGGAACCTGTCAACCCAAATGATAAACCAAGATACAAAGCTCGGTTAGTAGCTAAAGGCTACAGTCAGATTCCTGGTATTGATTA